TTCCTTCGCTCAAACTCCCTCTCAGACCTCACACCATCTCTTGCACCCCAGTCCCTTACCCCGTGTGACCTTCTGCACCCAACCTGCATCCTTGACCCCGCATCCCCTCCACACAAAAGTGCGGCCCTTGACCAATCTCCAAAATCTTGGAGTGGCCCCCCACCAAAAATTAGTGCCCATCCCTGTGTTGCAAGATACTGTATGTAGCTATACTGTCAGGAATACAGAGCCTGCTTGAGAGTCTGCTAAGGCCTTTACACTCATAGCTGATTCCCAGAAGCCAAAGGCTAGGGGCAACCTGCACAGCCTTTATGGGAAGAAGGAAAACCCCATCTCAAAGTGCAGTCTGAAGGAATCCTTGCACTTAGATTCCTGTGGAAAGTGTTTCTTTGTGCAGCTTTTTATTTTGGCAGCAGGGCAAGAAGGAAATTTGATCATTTAGCATTAGTTTGCTTACACTTTTAACAAGTTAAAATATTTTCCTCAAAACTTAATTTTTGTGTGTGACCCAAGACCACTTAATGCCAACTGGCAAAGTGATTCAAAGGGTTTACACAGAAATCTCATGAGACTGGTGTGTGCATTATAGTTCACTAACCATCATCTGAGGACTCAAAGCTAGTGTCACACTGGTCATGAGTATTATTGTGAAACACATCTACAGATACTGTGAGAAATTGTGTGTGTACATATAGAAAACATGTTCTTGAAGCCTATCTTGGTATATTAGTCACCAGCAGTGGTGAAAGAGGTTTTCTTTCAGGTAAGAGGTGTAAACATCTGTTTTACTTGTAGTTTGACTGTTTTGAATTGAATACAAATGAGGTATTTTAAGAATCTTTTTCTGAAGTTGTAAGAGAAAAACACAGTAGAGGTAGATAAACTTGTATTGAGGTGCACATCAAAGGTTTGCTGACTATATTTGGGAGCACAGAAGAGACACAGGCACCCTTCACTGATGAAGCAAGAGAACAGTGCTTTTTTCCTAAAACATTGCTTTTTAAGAAGGCTTTGTTGAAAGTGCTGGAGAGAACTTTGGGTAAGACTCTCTTCCCTAAATAAACGTATAACTTGTTAGTTAAATTTAGCATTTAGCAAGTAAGGATGTAGTAGCGTAGTTGAGTAACCGATAAGCAAAAGCTTATACGTTAATGTAATAGAGTACATGCATTCCCTCTCCCACCCCCCACTTGCTAGTAAATTTTTTAGCAGGCTGGCCAGCAGCCCAGCTCAGTCCCAGTCTGTCGAAAATGCCCTGTCTAAACTGCTGTTCTTTTCGGAAAAAAGTGTCAGCTGCCATTATGCAAATGAAGAACGGGATATTTAAATCTTGGCTTCATTTACTCTTTCAATACATCTAGTTTACATCCCTCTGCTGACAGAGTGTAGTTTAGATGTAGCCTAAGAAAAACTTGAAAGGCAGTGCTTGTGTTGCCAGAGGCTTGTTTCAAGGTATGAGTGCTGTATGCAAAAGGGAGTTGGTGTAGATCTGCTTCATAACCCCAGGGACCATCACAAACAGTTCAATCTCGTTTTGAAAATGTTTGCATTAGTTAAAAGTGTCCGTCTGCTATGTACATTGGACAAACATCTCAGACGCTTCGCCAAAGGATTAATGCCCACAAAACAGATATCAGACAAGGTCACAAAGAAAAAACTATTTCTTGTCATTTCAACCAGAAAGGACACTGTCTCAACGACTTAACCACCTGCATTCTACTACAAAGACCTTTTACATCTGCACTTGAAAGGGAATCCTCTGAACTGTCATTCATGTTAAAATTCGACACTCTCGGGGGGGGGGGGGGGGAGAATTGAACAAAGACCCCCAACTACCTTACCCATTACCAAGATAGCTTCCCCAATTATTACCTCTAATACCATTAGCTCACAGACATCTAACTTTCCCCACCTCCAATATCATTAACTCACAGACACTTACCTTCCTTCCTCCTCCCCCCCGCATCCTCCTTCTGTTCTGAAATGTGATTTGTCCTTTTCATATGTGTTCATTTTTTTAATTGTATCCTTTGGTATATATGGTTGTGACTATTTTCTTCCACTATTTGATCTGAGGAAGTGGGTCTGGCCCACGAAAGCTCGTCATCTAATAAACCATCTTGTTAGTCTTTAAAGTGCTACATAGTCCTGCATTTTGCTTCTGCATTAGTTAAAAGATGCTTGTACGTAGGTACACACACGTATTTCCTTAAGGATTCTGAAAGATCTTACTAAGTTCTTCACCACTCAAATGTGCTGATCTCTGGGGTGAAAATTTGCATCCATTTTGCCCAGAAACCACTACACTTTTTTAGAAGATGGACAACGAGAAACTTTTCCAGCTAAAGCTACAGTTAAACTTAAATAGCCTGCAGTGGAAATGTGCCATAATACCTCACTTTAGTATAAAGCTATTCTGAAGACATTGAGTCTGTTATGATAGATACACGTATTAGTCGTCAGTTGCTGTAATTAAAATCACTCTCCATTTAGGAGTAGATGGTTCCTGAGTGCAGGTTAGCAGGCAAAGGAATTTGAAGTGATTAGCCAGGCTTTTTTGCCTGCTGTGGTCTTCTTGATGAGGTTTTGTTTTAGTTGTCATACTTTGAGAAACTGATCATAATAGTGAAATCAGGGAAGTCAGCATTTCTGTTTTAAGAGGTGACTGAAACCTTCTTTGGTCCAATTAATATAATTAACTCTCAGACGTTTACCTACCCTCCTCTGCTGTCCTGACTCCTCCCTTCTCACTGCCCTAGTCCTTCCTGGGACCCACCCCCCCCGCATCTCCCTTCTGTTCTGAAATGTGATTTGTCCTTTTTCATATGTGTTCATTTTTTTAAAATTGTATCCTTTGGTATATATGGCTGTGACTATTTTCTTCTACTATCTGATCTGAGGAAGTGAGTCTGACCCACAAAATCTCATCATCTAATAAACCATCTTGTTAGTCTTTAAAGTGCTACATAGTCCTGTATTTTGTTTCAGCTACACCAATAACACGGCTACATTTCTATCCCTATAAATAAGAGCTTTCTTCTTAGTTTACAAATATCAAACAAAAGAGCAGTGTGGGTTAACAATTTTAGTTTTTTGAGTTTAGTTTGGATTGTTTGCATTTTACTAGTGTAATAGTGTAAAAGTTAGTAAGTGTTTAAAAAGAAAAGCCAAGACTACTTAAACTTCAGTATTTAAGTTCTAAACACGTTGCATGCAGGCACAAACCAGATGCACACAATCAGGATAACCCCATTATCCAGAGGAGTTAAACCAAGGATAATTTTTGAACTGATGTGTTAAACTATTTTATCAAGGGAGGAGTATATGTGTGCACGCATACACTAGTGTTCTTTTCATGTTTATGATGAACCTGTTGATAATGCATTGGCTAAACATACAAGAAATGATTTGAGAAAACAGAGCCTGTTCACTGTATGTTCAGGGACACTTAAGAGGTGTGTTATGGTTAATACAATTACCTGTCAAAACCTTTATTTTCTATATACCGTATATACTCGAGTATAAGCCGAGTTTTTCAGCACAGTTTTTGTGCTGAAAAATGCCCCCCTCGGCTTATACTCGAGTCAGCATCTCGAGAACTGAGGCGGGCAAAGCCTCAGAGGCGCGGGACCCCCCCGCGGCTGCCGCTTCAATCTGGGAGCCTGTGGTCTGCTGGGGACCATCCCCAGCAGACCACAGGCTCCCGGACTGAAGCCGCAGCCGCGGGGGGGCCTGCGCCTCTGAGGCTTTGCTCCGGCAAAGCCTCAGAGGCACGGGACCCCTCCGCCTCCCGGCTTTGCTCCCGGTGCCTCTGGTTTGCTGGGGACCGTCTCCAGCAGACCAGGGACACCGTTACGGTATTTTTGATACCATATTGTTTTTGTTGACCCCCTTTTCCACTTACAGAGCTAGGTTATTGTTTTTCTTTGAAATAAATATTCATGTAATTTTATTGGTATCTATCTTCATTTTTTACATTTACCAGTAGCTGCCTCATTTCCTACCCTAGGCTTATACTCGAGTCAATACTTTTTCCCAGTTTTTTGGGGTAAAATTAGGTGCCTCGGCTTATATTCGGGTCGACTTATACTCGAGTACATACGGTACTTCAAATTTGGGAAAGTCATTTTTGCAGAAAAGTATACTGTGCTAGCAATATATATTTCTAAGTACTTACACATTTGTTTTACTTTCTCTTATAGAACTTTTTCTTCTATGTGACTGGAGTAGTCAGTCAGTCTAAGTTTAAATGAGACATAGAAAAGAAAAAATGTTTACATGTAAGCTGTAAACTCCTTTGTAAAGAGTTTTCTGTTTCTGTTTTTTTTTACCATTAAACCAACTTTTAAAAGTCTTTTATCCTGTTTGGGGTTTTTTAGTAAACAGTTAATTTAAATGTCCAATATATTTTGGAAGAAAACCCCTTTATCTAAAATTAATCACCCTTGTTTTTCAGTGAGTGGTGAGACTTACAATTTTCTGTGTAATTGTCTTTCAGGGAAAATGTCCAGACTTGCTCTTGACAATAAGGAATGTCAATAGAAAACTTATTTTTTCCGAGTATCGTTAGCCTTTGTCTGTTATAAAAAGCAAAAGGGCACAAACCATTTTTTCCTACTTACTGACAGTTGAAGTGGTAGGTCTTAATATAGTTGCAGGCTATACGTTGTATTTAAGTATTGAGCATAATTGCTAATCTGACATCATGTGACAAGAAGCTTTCTTCCTCCATTGCTTTTTGAGAAGAGTCAGTCAAATTACTTTAGGTCTACATTTTGTGGTGTACGTAGTATAGGACTTCATACTACATGTTTTTCTTTATTAAAATAAAAGATGAACAAATATTGCATTTATAAAACATTTAAAATGCTGCATCCTGTTGTGATTTTATATTGGTAACCTTTATTAAACATGCTACTTAAGCTTTAAACTGTCTGTTTTTTACTGTTTTTGGCGAAAAAACATTCTCTATTGTAATACAGATGTGTTTTTCCCTATAGATTGTTGAAGACTATGCTGGAAGATGGCAGGTACCTTTGCCTCAGCTTCAGGTGCTTCAGACAGCTCTTTGTTGTTTCACGTCTGCCTGTGTATCATTTCCAGCTGAATGTGAGCACGTACAATATGTCTTGAGTAGCCTAGCTTTGTAAGTACACCCTTTTTCCTATTAACTCCATCTATAGGCTGACAGCCAGCATTCTATTTTTGCAATGAAAGTAGTATGTCACGAGGTCTTGTTTTGTAAATGCATAAGAACAAAGTTATTCCTGGAAATTAAATAATTGAAGCTCTGAAAGGTGTGACTTTAGGTTGTTCTTTTTATATTACATTTACTCAAAGAACATGCTCTTGTGAAAGTGTTGTACCATTTCTTTTAACAAAATCTACTAATTAACAATAGAAGTGTGCCTCTGATAATTTTAATATTTCCAGTACAATTTTAAATGTTATATTCTACTGAAATACTTGCAAATCGAATCTTGTGGTTATAAATGTATCTGAACAGAAGTGAAATTGACTGGTACAATTCTGTTGCCCAAGTAGAGAGATGCAAAAAGTAAATGAACTAAAAATTATTGTAATGGCCTAAGGCTTTTGAAACAGGAAAATATTTGTTGAAATTATTACTTTAAATCTGAATCTTCAACAAAAAAATTCTTTCGTGTTAAACGTTTATTGTATAAGAAATATTTTTCTTTTGAGGAAAAGATTTTCCTAGGGATAATAATGTACGTGTCTTGAACTTGATAACAATGTTAGCCTGTTAATTTGTACAAACAAAATCCTCACCATCGCATTTATTGTCTGACTCTGTAAAGTAGATGCCAAAAACTTGAAAATACCTAAAAACAAACAATTATTGTATCCTATAGCTTAGCTCCATAGCTATTGGTTCTCTCATCTGTAGGTGGAGAGAGGAGTACTGATTTAATAAATATGTACTAGGAACTAGCTCTTGTGTTAACTTTTTGTCCAGCAGGTGGAACAGCTCTATTTTGCTGAGCTTTGGTTTTAACTGCTCCTAGTTAGTTTGATGCTAATTTTATTTGGTCAGAATTAATTATCCCATTGTGGGGTTTTGTTAGCTTCACGAACTGAGGGTTAGAAAAATACCTATAGGGGAACACGCTTTATTCATCTCTGTATTTTCCTGTGTGTATCTTCAAAGTGAACTGGCAGACCCATCTTTTTTTACCTAGTCTTTGAACTACCAGCACTGATCCCAGAAGACTTGCAGCTTTTATTTTGTGTATTCATGATATACTTAAACTGAAACTGAAGAGTAGATTTGACTCTCTTATGTGGAAATAAAACTGTTAAAAGTGATGACTTCTTGAGTGAAACTAAAAAAATTAGATCAATCTAAGTATGGTGGTCAAGTACCCAAGGATAAACTCCTTATACCCAAGGGATAGAATGAATATAGTCATGGTATCTCCGTTTAGAGAAGATCAGTTATTTTCTGACACATGATTCAAGTTGTTTTAAGACCAGGCTCATGGTTGATGCTTAGTAGCTACTACGACTCTTGTGTAAACAAAAAACATTAGAAAAATTTAGTCAGGGTATAGACAATACCTTCATATGTGTTGGTACAGCATAGAGCACGGTGTTGTTTTGATCTTGATTGCGGCTTCTGGGTACTACTACAACACAACTGATCTTTGACTGTGACGTCAAATTTAGAGTCTGACTTGTCTAAAGTAGGTACAGGTTGAACCTTTCTAGTTTAGCACCCATGCGACTTGACCCGTGCCTAAGGAGAGAAATTTGGAAACCAGGGGCGGTCAATACAAAGTGCCAGTGGGTCTCCAAAGGTTCAGGAAGCTAGGTTTGGGAGGGGGTGCTGCAACATGCTTAAGGTCCCCACTGCCCCTTCAGGTGCCTGCTGCCAGCCCCCTTGCTCGGTCACAGTTGTCAGATCATCTGCAACCATTTGGAGTACCAGCCCTTAACTGTGTCTGCACTCCTATCTGTCCCAAGCTAGAACCATAGCAGCCAGCAGCTGGGACCCCAGGAGAGAAGCTGCTGAGTGTACCTTGTCCCCCTCTTCCCTGAGCTTGACTACCACAAATTAGTTGATTTGAGGCTCTCCGAGAGCTCTAGGAGGGCAGAGAAAGAGTTGCTAAGCCATGCCCTCATAACAGAGAAGGAAGGGGACAGAGGGGAAAGCTTGGTGCTGTTTTTTCTCTGAGTGCTTCAGTCCTGGAGCACTCTGAGTCACTGCTGATGCCAGACGATGCATGTTACTGGATGACCAAATTCCAGATTACAGAAGTTCAACCTGTACTGATCAGGATTTGGGATCAACTGTCTTAGAGGGTGGAGGGAAAAGAGTTTCTTCATCAAATCTCACCCCTTATGTTAAACCTATGCACATGAGTTTGGGAATGGATTTTCTTTTATTACTACTTGCCCCAGCTTACGAAGTTGAGGGGCATTGAGCACAAAACAAAGCCTTTTTTTCCCCAAAAGCTATTTTGGTTAGCTTAGTTTTGCTGTGATGTCACAGTGATTATGGACATAATAGTTACCAAGGAAACATTGCTGAAGTATGCTAGCCCTAAGGGTGTTGAAGTCTCAGTCTTTTAGGAAAGTCTAAAACAAAGTTCTAATTCTTAAAGGGGAGAGAGAGAACAGGAGTCTGCCTGATCCCATTTGGGCTTTCTCCATACTTGAGCAAGGTTTCCATGGTAACCAGATGGTAAACTACTGATAGCAGGACCTTCCTGTTCTCTCCCTGCACTTACTAAGAAACTTATTTATAATAAATGAGGCAGTATCTATATTCTTTTTAATACAAGAGATGTGTACTGGGGTCACTAGTAAACAAGCATATACAAGTAGTATCTTGTAATACCTGTGTTATCTGAAAGGATGGTTTGACAAATAGAAATGAACACCATGAATTTAATACCTGTATTTAAGATGATGTGGTTTATCAGATCAAATTTTGGGGAATCAAGAGATACGAGTTTTAATATTGATGGGGAAGGAAGTTTTCAGTCTTGTTTTACATGGCCATCCGAGCTTGGTGATGTAAGCATGTATCGCATTTTGCAGGTGAACAAATGTGAAATTCAGATCTGCAATTCACTTTTATTAAAAACTAAAATGAAGGTATTTGCTGCTGAAGTTAGTGTAGACTTTCCCAAAGAATTTGTGAGTACCAGAGGCTGGTAGTTTTTCAAATAACCCATGACAATTTGACGAGACTTCTGCTGCAAGTAAAATGTGTTACTTAAACTTATTTTCCTCACTTCAGATTGTCAGTGAAAATTTGTGGGCCGCAGGAAGTATTTGTTCTTTTGATCAGCAAGGCTGATCAGACTTTTCTTTATGATTGAGATTGAAGGGCCCTTGTGCAAATGAACACTACAGCTTTGAATACAAAATAAGGTTGCAAAAAATTGACCATACCTATTAGTGATGGGCAACTTGCGGCAGCTGCATGAGTGGCCCTCCTTCATCTCAGTGGGCCTCAACAGTCCATGGCCCACTGGGGTACCACCTGGAGCTCTGTGGACCCCATCGTGCCTCCCCCCCCCACCTCACATGCCTCTTGCACTGGAGCCTTGCACTTCCTGCTCCTCCCCCTCCCATCCAATACTTTGAGCCAGGAATTGCCTGATTCACACTCCATCCCTGCTCCTTCCCCTCCCAGGGATGGAACACCTTGAACAGCTGATTTCTGGCCTTCCAACTCTGAGAGGGAGAGGGAGGAGTAGGGACGCGTAGTATGAATCAGGAGATTCACAGCTTCTCTGAAAGTGCTGTAAGGGAGGGTGAAGAGCAGAACGTGCAGGGCTCTGGTGCCCCAGTGTGAGAGAGGCATGTAGGGGGGACAGAAGAAGGAACCATAGGACTCCAGGTGGAACCCCAGTGGGCTGTGGGCTTGCTGAGGCCCACTGAGGTAAAGGAGGGCTTGGTTGCCTATCCCTGATGTGTAAAATCTTCTTTTTGACAAATTCAAAATACCTATGTGGACGTGCTGGCTGCCACTTTCCGACACTCCTCTTAGGTGGGGTCTGTAAAATTTTAACAGATTGAAAAGGGAATTGGTATGCTCAAAAAGGTTGGGAACCACTATTTTGTAGATCATGTTCTCCTCTTAATAAGGAATATGACTGGAAGGGTTCTTTACAGATACGTTTCCTGGCCTGGTCTAAATGAAAAGTGTAGATTAACCTACCTTTGTCACTCAAGTGTGTGAAAAATTCATACCTCCAGTGTCTTAATTAAGCTGACCTAACCTTCAGTGTAAACATGGCTAATTTGACTGAAGAATTACTTCATCAACCTAGCTTTTGCTGCTTGATGATATCATCCGTACATGTAGAAGTATCTACATTATGGTAATATAGCTGTGCTACCTTTAGTGTAGACACGCCTTTACTGTTCCCTTTAGATCTTCTTGGCATTTGCTTGCTTCCTTTCAAGCAGTATAGTGTATGAAGCTAGAGTAAAATAATTTGCTTTAACTTTAGGAGATCTTGGAAACTGAATTTCAAAAAATACTCTCTGTATCAAGTGAATTTTAATTGGTTATTTTCTAGGTAACTTATAAACTGTTTAGATGACCAAAACTTTTAAGACATGTTACTTGCTTTACAATTTCTGAAACTCTGCCTTTCACTACTTAAAATTTATCTGTTACTTACAGTTGGAAAAATAAATGTTGAGGAAGTATTAAAGTCTGGGATAAGTTTGCTCCACCAGTGAGTTCTAAGATGAGTCCCCTGTGACCGCCAGCAGCAGTAAAGACAAAGGATGCTGGGACTTGCACAGAAGCCATGTTTGGGCCTTAATATTTCATGGCAGCCTGTGGCTAGTAAATTTTAATCAACTTCAAAGTCCATTTTTGCTTGCTTCTCTAAGCGAAAAGAAGCTGTGTCTGGCCTTGGGTATGTAAAGCTATCTGGCAATAAGAGAGAGAACCTCTGCTACTCTGGCTGTGCTCCAGAGATTTGTGGCTGATACACTTATTGCCTTCATTACTTTATTCCCTTTCCCAAACTATTATGAATTTGCATCCTCTGTGAATAATTTTACCTGACTCTGGTGCTGTTCATAATTTTCCCAATCTGGAGCTGCATGTAATATGAGCATTGTTCTTGACAGATCTTCTGGTTCCCAAAAGATTGTGAAAGCAGAATCAAACTGCTCAGAATCTTAGGATAGAATTTACACTTAAAATGCTGCATTGACATAGCTGCATCGCTCTTGCACTTCAGTGTAGATGCTCCCATGCTGCTTGGAGAGCTTTCCTATTGGTATAGTGAGCTCACCTTTCTGAGACACAGCTTGTCCTGTTGCCACAGCTACTATCTCAGTGACTTAGCACTGTCTACATGTGGCTGTTTTACACTCCTGAGTGATGTGATTATACTGATATGGGTCTTAAGACCTGGCCTTAAGGTGAGGGCAGTAGCAGAGGCATGGAAGTAGACTGCAGATTTTGAAGTTCTGCAAATATTTACCTTGGATTTGTACATTACATCCTCACTATAATGCCCTTCCTAATAACGAACCTTTGGTTATAATGAACTTGGTCGCTAGAGCCCACCTACGACAGCGCTGGAGGAGCTATGGGTCCTACTGCCCCTTTTCCTGTAAGTGGTAGGGCTCTTTTGCTATAGCAAACTCCTGACTATGATGAACAAATTACTTGGGGGCTAGAGGATTGGTTATAGTGATGGTGTACTATGTTTATGAATTTACTTTTGGAACTTCAAAAGATAGACATTCGAACTTTGTATGTAAATGAATCTTAATTAGCAAATATTGATGGCAGTCCTTTTGCTAGAAATTTACTCATACTAGTTAGTAACCTGATTTGGAAGCCTTTATGGATTTGTTTTTATGGTTTAGGAAGTTTTAACAGGTTTACAGGTTCTTGCCATGTGAATATCAGAAACAAAATAATCATCACAACTATAGGCTTTTCGTTTTGAGAGATTGTACAGTAATATAGTCATTGGAGCTCTTTAACAGGGTTAAACAGGTTACAGTATGTTAGTACAATGCACATGATACATTTCCAATGCTTTTATTCATAGGAATTTCTGCTTGCATGTTTAACAGACCAAGCATGTCTATCAAATACTATTAAAATAAAATTGAACAATTGTGCTGTTATTTGATGGTGAATGTAGTTGGTTGCAGCATTGAACATATGGTAAATCAAATACATTTGTCAGTTTTGCTGTGTTCTTCATTGATGCATTCATTTTTCCATAACAACCTCTGATATTTCTTTGAATCATTCTGCTAGAGGTTTTTTTTGTGATTTCTAATCCTTAGGGTGATTTTTAGTTCTGTTCTTGCCTTTTCAAATGACAGAATTGTATTAGCAGTAAAGATGGTAAATTGTTGTACATTGATTTATATCTTTAAGGTATTTAAAAAGATTTAGACCTGGGCTATATCAGAGAGTCATTTTGGAATAACTCCCCTTATTTTGAAATAAGTGGTGTGTCCACACTACCTAACCTGTTGTTTTGAAATAATAGGGTGGTTATTTTGAAAGCTGTATTCCCGCTTTCCTCAGGGAATAACACTATTTCAATTTTTGTTATTCTGGTGATTATTTCAATTTTAGTTATTTCAGAATAATTTCCTAGTGTACACAAGCCCTTAGTGACTCTTATTTAGAACTAAATGTAGTAGATCCCTACAGAAATCCACTTAAGTAGCATGCTTTGCTAAATTTTGTTAGTGGTAGAGTAGTGCTTAGCCATACTCCAACCATTTTGTTTCAGAAGGGAAGTTAGTCTGCATCTCGCACGAGCTTTGCCATGGGATACTTTACTGTCTTTCTGCTCAGTGGCAAGTGGGATACTTCTAGCTAGTGACTTGCTATAGGATTTGTGAGGAATTGAGATGTAGAGCACAGTATCTTATTATTCAGCAGTTTTCCTTTCAAAACTGTTTTTAATCAAATCTGTGAGAAAGGGATTGAGTGAGAGTTAAGATATACAGACCTTACAAATATAGGGAGGAGCAGTGAAACTAGGCCTGAATTAAGACCTACAAACTTTGTGTGCACTGACATGCCACTTCAGATTTTATATCATCACTCTTGAAAACCATCTTAAAAAGTTTTCCATAGACAACAAAACAAATGATCAACTTTTTAGTCTTTTTGGTACAACAGTTTCACTCACACATGACCTTGACAATTAATAAATTCATAATGACAAGAAAAAAATAAGGAATAGAAAGCTTGTTGTGGGTGAGAAGGTAAATTATTTGTGACTTGCACATTTAATATAAAGGAACATGTTAAGGGTTAAGTCTCCATTTATCCAAAGTCCTATGTGAAATGTCAGGCTAACCTGCAAGGCTTGTATGTTTCACAAGGAATAGAATTATCTTCTAGACATTGCATCATAAAAGTATATTCTAGCACAGGGCTACTCAACTTTGGAAGCGCCAGGGACCACAATGATACTCAAAGCACATGCTGAGGGCCACAACTTAAGTGTGAGTGCATATATATGCATATAGCTTCTTTCACACTGACTGGCATAAATACAAAAATAAAGCCTTAAGCTGCACCACCGGACCCAAATGTGACCAATGTGAGTCAGTTGACGCCTCTCAGGCTCTTCCCACAAGACTCAGCAGCCAGGACTTCCCACAGTGCCCCAGTGCTCCCAGCACCTCCTCCCCGGGGGCTAGAGATGCCGACACCCTATACACAGAGCCGGCCCAAGGTACAGGCTGACTGGGCTACCGCCCGGGACACCCCATTGTAGGCTGGGCGGAGGCAGCACTGCACATGCTTCCCATGCCTGGGGCGGGGCCATGCATGGGCGGGGAGCACCAGGCGCCCGGGGGGGCAGAGCCACTCATGTGTTGCACTAGCAGGGGCAGCGCTGCGCCCCTGGAGCCTGAGGTGCACAAATGGCTCGGGCCGGCCCTGCCTATACATATTGTTACCAGCCAGCCTGACTGCTTGAGTCACTGCTCACCCTGCCTGGGAGACGCCTCGCTGTTATGGAGTGTATTCTCAGTGTAGGCCATGTTCAAAGGATCCCACCCACAGGCTGTTTTAAGCCTGGTGTAAACCCAAACCATACTGCGGGCCACAAACAAATGGGCTGCGGGCTGCATTTTGAGTAGCCCTGTTCTAGCATTTGTGAAAACTGAAATTGCTAATTTGTTTAATGTCCCTCTCCATATCACATGACTGGAGTAAACAGAAACTAAGTTAAAGGTGATGTGCACAGTTCTGTTTTTATATTGTAGCATCCTCTTGATAGACGAAGTCAAAAACACTTTTTGTCCCCAAAGGATTTTTTCCTCTGCTCTGAGAAATATCACGTGTTCCTGGGTTATTTAGCAAAACAAGGGGACTGAGCTATATAATCATGTTGGGAGTTTTCAGATCCAAAAGTTGAGGCAGTATTGAATCTTCACTCTCTTTTCCTACTTTCAACAGCTATTTAACTTAATGCTTCAGAAAAGTGATGCTTGTTGCACAGTTGAACTAAAAATAATCTCTATTTAATTTGATTTCATTTACATACCACCTGTGATTTTTACAGTCCTGTGAGTTAGAGTAGTTAGTAGAGTTTTTAGAAGTGGACAAGACCAGCGTTTCTCATTTACAGCCAAAAATACTGAATTACCTGGTGCAGAACTGAGGATAGCTTTCATGCAGTGTGGGGGGGATTTTCAATGTGGAACGTGTTTTGCTTAACTCTTACTGTTGGTATAAATTGAGTCAGTCAGGCCAATGGCAAGAGCTTTGGAAAACACTACTCTATTTTAATTGTTGTGAAATTCAATACAGTTTGTAATAGGTTTTTGTAGATAATTTCAGGATCCCTAGCTCTGAAGATAGCTGAAATGATTTGCCTTTGTTTAGTTTGATTTTTGACTTGTCATTACTTGTGTTTGTAGGAGTTTTTTTGAATTGCTGCTCTTCTTTGGAAAAGATGAGTTCTATGAAGATCCTTTAAAAGATATCCTAGGTTCAATCCAGGTAATATCAGTTGCTGTTTGCTTTTATGTTTGTTTGTAAAAACGCAATTTTTGGTTTTTTGACGACCAACCTGTTTGTAGAAAGTTATGCTTTCATGTGTGTTAGAAGATGCAAGCATTTGTAGAACACTTGAATATAGTGAAAAAAGATAGTAAACCATTTTATTTACACTTCCCGCCTCTTCTGTAATTGTATCAGAGGAACATTTCCCATTGAAACTACTGTTCCTATCAAAAGCCAAAATAAACTAGAGCACAGTCTTAGTTTGGTAATGATGAACAGATTTTTAATAGGTCCTGTTTTGTTAATTTACTTTAAGATGACAGAAAAATTCATATCAAGAGCCCATCATCAAACTCATTTCTGACATCTGTCCTTTAAGTATCTGGCCAGAGTTTAGTTCATTCAAATAATCACGTATTTCAGGTTATGACTTAACTCTTGTTTCCTCATCCACAATTTTAGACAGTGGACTGAAAAAGAAAAACTCTTGTCTTCTGTTGATTAGGGCTAGTCTTCATGTTAACGTTCATTACATGTTTGGGATTAGAGGATGCTAACATCTAGTAACTGCCTTATAATTGTACAGTAATGTTCTCATTATCCATCTGACATGAATTATCTAGGCACATCC